GCAAGCATTGGATTAGGTGAGGGAATGATAATAAGAATTTCATAAATGTGGATGGGTTTGCATAATTTTTTTTTTTTGGGTTTTGCGTCCCTAGACCAAGAATGGTGGTTTCTATATTCTATTCTGTTCAATTTTATAGATTCTACATAACTCCATCTTTTTTTTTTCTTCATTTGCTTTTGTTTTGTTTATTGCTAAAATATAGTTTGAAACACCAAAAAGAAATGATTAATTATGTCACAATTTAGTATTACGTTGGAAAAAAATTTGTGATATGTATTTATCATCTTCATTGAAAACCGATAAGGAAAAATGTATAAAACAATATCACAAAAAACAATGATAGAAGCATAAAATTATAAGGTAAAATAATCTGTGCTCGGTGCACGTGTGCAACAACTAGTAATTAAAATAGATGGTAGAGTAATTTGGAGATTTAAATACATAAGTATGATAATTTAGATATTTAACTGTGGAAGGATAAAGTGACCTTTGTAATTTTTTATAAAGGTAAAATAGTGAATTAAAAAATTTCATGTAAAGGTTTTTTTATTAGTAGCACAGATATGGATATAGATATAAAATTTTCACATTGTACCTTTAAAAATTAATATTTCATCATAAATTTTGAGTATAATTAGATATTGATAATAATAAAACAAAGGTAAATTTCATAAATGCCTCCTAAAATATGGCCTTGTTTTAAATTCCTCCTTCCCTCCGAACTTTCATGTTTCCCAATTTGTTCCTTAATTATGTTATTTATCGCAGTCGACCCTTTTGTTTAATATTAATAGACAAATGAGAGAAATCAACAACAAATCTTAACAAAATTTATCTCCTTTAGCAGTTAATCTTAATAAAAATGTGTATATTCATCGATTAATCACAACGGAAAGGATTGATTAAAACACATTTGTATAGTTCAAGGGACAAATTGAGTCAATTGCAACTTCAGGGGCAATTAAAAACAAATGTCAGAGTTCATCAGACATTTATGAGATTTACTTCTAAAACAATATAAATAAATATAATAAGACAATTATTCACGTGTCATATTTTGATTGGGGTAACGTGTTTTTGAATTTTTATCCAATAATGAACACATGTCCAAAGATCTAGGCATATTTTTTTTTAAATAAATAGGATCTAGGCATATTGGACGCCCACTTCAGATAAGAAAACGTCTCAAAAAACTCGTTTTTAAGATGGTAGAATCTCGATGAATAATATTGGTTCTCAAACACACTTTAGATGCAAAATTTTTTTGTCTAAAATATTTATTTAAAAAACACACGCCATCACTTCAAAAAACGTGGGTCCAAAATATATTTTTTAAAACAACCTTTATCTGGTAAACAAGTTTTAAACAACAGCATTGTCAGAATAAAGTTTCAACCATATGCGGAGCTCGTATGGAGCTAGGACCTCAAATTTGTTTTGAATTTGTTTTATATGTATTGAGATATATAAATTGGAATATTATTCAAATTTAATGTCCACCTTATTATTTCTATTTTCAACAATATTTTATGAGCATATGAATTGTGATTTATCTATAATTCTATATTTGGTTAGTTTAATGGGACTTTCTTCAATTGAGTTTGATTTTAGATTTATGAGCTTTTTGGATTTACCTTCTTAATTTCAATTAACCTTTTTTTTTTCCCTAGGACTTGTTATCTTTATTTCTCCACAACATATTTTTTTAATTTTCTACAACTCATTCGATTTTTGTCTAATAAATTAAAAGTGAAAATTTGAGAGAATTTTATTATATAAATTGAATGGATATCAGTGGATGAATAATATATATCTTTCATGGATGACATTATCAATAAACTTATAATTTTTTGTTTGTATATCATTGACTTTTGGATCTTTTGTGTTCAATAAATATAATAAATATTATTTTATATTTATAGATTGGAAGAAAAATATTTAGATTTTAAAGTGCGCACCCAAAAAAATAATTTCGAACTCCAATCGTGGTTTCAACAATAACTTGCGAAAGGTGGCGAGTCCTCAAATAGGTAAATGTTTGCTGAAGTGTATAAGCTTTTTCCCTACTAGGTAATTTTTATTTTTGGGGAGGTATATAAAAATCACTTAAATCAAACAATAAATAAAGAAAAAAAGAATGTAGTCTCAAAAAAAAAAAAATCGTTGTCATACCGAAATTAATTTTGTACCTGTGGATCTTATGTTTATTCGTTAATAGTATAAAAATATTATATATAGGTTCAATTTCCCACAGCCCCAAGTATATATTGTTTAATCTATAATTCTTTCTTATTGAGAAATATGACCCAATCTTATTTGGTGTGTAAAAAGTTTATTGATGGATTCCAAAATGCATATCAGCTCTCCATTTGAAATTCATGTAAGCGAATAGATAACAGTATATGGAAAATTAGAATTCTAAGACAAACACGATAAACATTATTATGTTTATGAAATAAAGATAAATAATCTATTTTACTTTAAAATACCAATATGTGAAGAACAATTTTTTTTTAATTTTTTTCTCTAACATCACAACTATGCCATCCATGCCCTCTAAACTTAATTGCTTCTGAGTTAACATCTCCCTCTATTCCCACTTTCTCTCCCTCCTCTATCTTTCTCTCCGTATTTCTAGTCTCAAATTCACAGACCTAGAGGCTCTACTTCTCTCGGCCGGTACAACCTCTTCCTCTCTCCGGCTTTCTCTCCCTCTTTTCTCTCTCTCTTTCTTGCAAATTCACAGCCCTTATCTTCATCTTCCACAGACCTAGGCGTTACAGTCTCTTCCTCTCCCTCTTCTCTCTCTTTGTCTTGCAAATTCACGGCCCTACTCTTCACCATCCCCTTCTCAGTCTCTCTCGCCCCAATTTTATTTAATTACATGTATTAAATTACAAAAATCAGTTAGACTTCAATTAGGCATCCAACAATTAATTTGTTTAATTAAAAAAACCATTGATCTTCTTCTAAATTCTATTTACAATCGCCTTTTTCTGTCCGAAAAATTCTTCGAAATCCCATCGTCCTTTGCCCCTCTCTGTCAGACGCCGGTTGGTTGTTGTGTTTAGGCATCATCAAGCTTTCCACAGCTAGAGGAGCTCTAACCTCTCCCTCTAACCAGGTAACTGTCACGTATGTTCCAATTATTAGTTCAGAATTTTTGGTTTTGTTTTGGTTTGAATTATTACTGAATTAGATTGCTGGTGTTTTCTTCTTTGTGGTTTCGTTTTTTATTCAATTTATTATTCTATAATTTTTAAACATCAAGTTGAATCTTATGAGAATTATAACTTAAAAAATTGTAATCGATCATAACATTTTATGATCAATCACGAATAATTATCAGTTTTTTTTACAAAGTGTAACATAATATTTAATAATAATATCTCTAATAATATTGTTGACAGTGTGGCTAGAGTTTTAATTTGGTTTATTTATCCTCTATTTCATTGCAATGAGTGTGGGGTAAAAGAATGGAAAGTGGAATTTTTGAACCTCGTATGTTTGAATGAAGAATCTCATTATGAAGCCTATTTTGTTTTAGAGGAATTCAGGTTGACTAAATACAATCTACACACACATAAGAATCAGATTGTGCCATTTCCAAAAGAATCAGGTTGTGGGGATTGTGGGAAGAGGTATTCAGAAGCTTTGCCATCTCTTTTGCTTAATTCTGTAACATTTGAGATATTAAATTGAGAGAAAAAAGTTCTCTCCAATCCAATCCCTAACGGTACTCATGTAACCACTCTTGATTAATTTTTACCCAGAAACCAGTTTTGATCTCTTCCTCACTTATTTTCCCCCTATAATTACCCCATCTCAAGAGTTATCTAGCCCACTAACTTGTAATTTCCTACATTGTCATATTATGATTATTTGAGTTCATGTTTTACTCTTCTAAATTTCCAGAGAATCAGATTATTGAAGTAAATTATGTTCTTACCCATGAATTAATCTTGTCAAGTATTGTGTCGTGTTCGAATTGATCTACATAACCCATGAATTAAAAACATTTTTTGGGCATGTTAAAATTTTTAGATTTTTTCACACATCTATATAATAAGGGACAAGAGATTTTGAATTCCCAACTTATAAAACTATTCAAGCGACATCTCTCTCTGCTCCCTTGCCTTTTCTTTCTTTCTTTCCTTCACTCCTCACCCACAGGCCACCCATCTCGAAGCTTCATAATTGGTAAAGTTAAAAGGTATGCTTTGATTTTGTCTTACATGGAATGGTCTTGTTTTGATCCTTTGTACACATTTTTGATGTTGGACCAGTAGAACGTGTGTTGTTCTTGACTGAAATTTCTTTCAATTAATTTATATCCCCTATTGAAATTTCATTCAATTAATTCATATCTCTAATCTCTAATCTCTAATCTGTGGTGAATCGGTGTATAAGGGGATATCGAATGACTATATCAGCATAAATTTTGATACTTTGATGTAGTAGAATCCTTAAAGATGTTTAGATTATAGTCGATACCTGATGAATCTTTTTCTTACTGTTTGTTTTTCATGATATTTATCTACTTTCATGGTGTACCCATGCACATGTGTGTGTGCCCACGAGAGGGAGATAAGCAAATCATTTAGCTGTCTTATTCTTCATTCCACTGAGTAGCAATCTACTGCAACAATGGGAAACATGGATCAATCCTTAGAATATGTAAATGTATAGAACATTCATACTTGTTTCTGAAAACAACGTAGTTAGCCAAAAGAAATAGCAGTACAATCAAGATCAGGAAGACATTGGAACAAATTGATAAGAATGACAATCCTGTCTGCTCAAATAGGAACCATGCAACAATAGCAACAACAATGACTCCGCATGAAACACGCCGCTGCCTCCATAATATAACATTAGCAGCTAGGAACAAAAGAATGAATGATGAGTACAGTTAAAATCACAAAATAGCTAACACAAACACGCAAGACAAATAGTACTTTCCAATCACAGATATTCCAATTAATGAGCAAAAGCAAATGGAAGAAGAGGGGTTGTGGAGACGATCGAGAACTCTTCAAAGCATGAACTGTAAGCGTTTTGAGTTAATATTTTTTCCCACTGAAGTTCACACATTTCAGCTACTTCTGATTTTTTATTTCTTTTAACAGATATATCTATTTGTATATTAGTAATGTTAGACTGACCAAATTTTGGAATCAAATTTAGAGTTCAAATGACATAACAATTGACTTTGACTTCTTTGATTGATCTCATGTCATTTGGGCCCCAATAAAAACTTTAAATAATCAATTGTCATGTCATTTGAGCTCTAAATTTGGTCCTAAAATTTGATCAGTCTATCATTATTCTTTGTATATTGTCCTCCACTTATATATTCTTTTTTGTTTAAACCTTAACAGTATGGTTATCATCAAGATCATTTATTACCATGTCCATTTGTTCATTGAATTTTAAGAAACTCAATTATGAGACAGCATCTTTTATTGACTGCGGAACACAAAAAAATACTTCTTGAATAAACCTTCTCTCCAATGTTTTCCCTCTTCTTCCTTGCTCATTTTTCGTGGTTATAGTGTATACAAGTAAAACAAGATGTTTTGTGGTCCAGCAAGTAGAAAAATTGGAAGACCCTGAAATACCAAAAGAACAATCAACGAAAAGGCAAAAAAAAAATAAAAATGAAGCATTCAAATACATGGAGATTATGGTTCCAGTTTATTTAGTTTTGATAAACATCAAGTTTCTTGGTAAACTTTTTTTATATTGGCTTTTATGACCTATACTCCGTTCTCCTTTTTCTTTATGGTAATATCAAACAAAGGTAAATGTTTGTGAACTTATATTGTGTTTTCCATTGTTCTAATCTTCTCATTGTAATCGAATCCAATTTTACACACCAATATCAGAACCTCAAAGTATTGGCTCCAAAGGTAAAGCATATCACATCTCTCTCTCTCTCTCTCTCATTTTTTTTTTGTTATGTATTTGACTGTGATCTCTGCATTGTTTATATGCATTTCCTTCTGTAACATTGTTGGATGGAGTAAGGGTTAGGTGGAGGGGATAAAAGATCAATGGATATGGGGGGAGAAAGTGGAAATGGCTGGGGTGGGTGGCAAAGAAGATGCTTGTCTCCTTACCTCAAGGTTTCATATTTATTTATCCTGAAAATTTGTATTATTTAAATACTGTAAATGGACATTAGATTAGCACATCACACATCTTCAGGAATAATCCTGTAAATTGATGTTGATATTTCTACATGGTCATGATGCTATTTCTATAAATTATTTATCGGTTGCATTTTATGATAGTCTACTAGCTTAGGCTTTTAATCGATTTATGTTATTTTCTTCATGCTGAAACATTTTCTTAGAATCATGCCATTGCGTCACTAACCTCAATATTGTGCATCTGACTGCTATCTTGAATGTGGATCATTACTTGATTTCATGGATCAGGTTATGGGAGCAAATGCATACAACATAGAGCACATATGGATGGTTGACGTCATACCTGATTCCTCTGTGCCCATAGCAATGACTGAGATAAATGCAGGTATGGAACTTTAATGTTTTGCTTGCTGTCATTACCGCACATTCACACTTTGAACTAACTGGTGCATGTGGTATAGAGCAAGAATACATATTGTACATTGTGTAAGATTTAAATATAATGTATTACCTTCTTGACTGTCCTAGGTTGATTTGTAGAATGAAAAATGCCGCTCTTTTTCCACCTAAGAATTCTATTTTTTTTTTATTTTGCTAAACTTTAATTTTATTTTACGTTAAATCTGATTAATTCCTGAATCTTACAGTATCGGTGTTGGTGAGGAATCTTAAAGTTAAATCTGACTCCACATCGGTAGTTAAAAGTGACTTGACCATCTGGTGCTTGCACCTGTCAACTAACAATACCCTGTAAAACTATATTTACAGCTCAATTATTAATATTCAGGTATTTTAAGTCCAAGCCTTTTACCGATTACACAACTACTATAGTAAAACGATTTTTTCATTCAAATTACAAAATAGTAAATTGGCAATTATCATGAAAGAAGTCCTTGAATTGCATCTCTTGTTGCTTCACATTTCAACTACAATATATATAATTAGATTTTATTGTATATTGCTTTATTTTGATTCAGAAGTTTAAACCTCCTATTACCCCCTCAAACTTATTGAAAATGCATTTAGTACATACCTATTTCATTGTCTTTAAAAAATAACAATACGACAATGCAGCTTTTAAGATTGTTTTTTATCATTGTTCTTATTCGCAAAAAATCTGGACTTCATTCAAAAGCTGTTCTAGGATATTCTTACAGCATATTTCATGGCTTCTATGGGTACAATAGCAGACTAACAAATGGAAGAACAAGTCTTTGAATTGTGCTAACGATTGTCATCAACAAAATACAATTATATTTATGAAAAAAAAATATTTGTTGTTAAAAATTTATAAATTGCATCATGATGATGAAAAAAAAGTGACTTCTCATCATGATGAACTTTGTTTTTTTTTTTTTTAATGTAAATTGTATCTCTTTTTTGTTATTCTCTCAAATAATTGCTATTTTATTATATATTTATCCTTTTTCCATATGTCGTTTTTTATTGGTTCTTTGGTATTTAATGGGACTTTCCACACAGTGGATGTTATTGATTATCCTTATTATTTCTTCAAAGTCTTGCTCCTTTATTTAAAAAGGAAAAACAAAAAATAAATGGGTGTATCTGGCCATCCAGCTCTTTCTTTTGTTGTACAAAGGAGACAAAGATAGAGATGAAATGGAGATTAGAGAGAGACGATTCAAATATGAGAATCGAGTTTTGTATCAACTTTAAAAATTTTAATGCTTTTATTTTTTCTAGCAGATTTTTTTTGGAGAGAGTATATTTTATTTTCACCAAGATCACATAGAGCAAGTGATTATTTTTCAATTGGATGGTTGATATGAGCATCTACAAATCTAGAGTTGAAGCAAAAGATTCCATTGATCAATCTTCCCTCAAAACTTTTGTTAGTTGTATTCAACTGATGTTCAATAGTTCCGATTGAGATTTTGTTTGGTTGACGATCAAGGGAGGTTCGATGAGTAGTAATTGGTAGGATGGTTCCTCATTTTTTAACTTAAGGGACCTTTATATTCTGTTTTTCATAATTTTCCTTACATTAGATTTTTTTTAACAACATTAGCACATTGATCAATAGCGTATCAACTTAGTTATGGTAACTTTGATTGAATAACAATCCTTTCTTATTTAACTGTAAAACTTTTGTTCATATGCTGGTACAATTTACTTGCAAATCGTTGAGATTGTGTTGCGAGCTATCATAAATCTTGGATCATTTCAACACTTGAACATTATTTGATTCAAGAAGTTAAGTACCCCTTTCTTTTGTTTTTCATTAGTGCCACAAATGTTAGGAATTCCTTTAAAGTTATCAAGGAAATGTCAAAATTCAATATTTATTATTTGTCTTACGTGATACAGTTTAAGCAGTAGGTGTCTTCAAGGATGAAGAGGAAGAAAGATAACTCCTACTCTCGCATCACAAAGAACTAATTATAGATCTCAAACTCTAATCACAGTGCTTCCAGTGAAAGAGGACTAAAATTTTTCTATCCTTGGTAAAGATCGCAATGTACAATTACCTTGTGAACAAAACTCAAGCTATTACAAGCTATCTTGGGAATGATTTTTAATTATGTGTCTTACTACTCTGTCTTCCTTATTATTTTTTTGGTAGTTTTTTTACTTTAAATTTAATCAGATTTTTCATGATTTTTACCATTGGAATATTGTATTATTATTCCAATAAGGGATTGGAATCGTTTGTTCGAAGGATTGGAATTGTTAGTCTAACGACAACTTTCGCATGTACTTTTGGAACATTTTATGGCAGGCCTTTTTTCATATTCTTCTTCTCAATGCCTTAACTTTTTGTGATACTTAGTCTTATATTTCTATTAGCCCTTAGAATCAATTTATTTTGTGTTGTTATTCCTTTTCCATTTTTTGTGTGGGGATTTTAAAATCTTGCAATTTAAGGATGTTTAACCAATCATTTTTCTCAGAAGGTTTAATCATTTATTTTTTTTGTGGGTGTTTTATGTTTAGGAGGTACCCATTCCTGAAAAAAGGACTTGTCTTGCTTGGTTTTGTTAGTTATCTCCGTCTTCCAAGTTTCAAGAGATGGTTGCTTACCGATAACAATGACCATTCTCTATAGACATAACTATGGAGACAATTATTTATTTATGATAGGGTCTAGTAAGGGTTTAATCATAATAGAGTTCTTTGTAAAGAGTCCACGGGCAACGCACATGTACAACAACTAGTATTAATAAAAGTGGTATGTTAGAATATTGAACGAATAGCAACATAATGAAATGAGGGTCAGATGCGATTTTAACAATTCAATTTATCGACTTGGGAGAATTTGATGAAAATCCATTTTAATGGTTCTCAAGTTTGGACAATTGATTTTTTTTGGGTTATTTGCTTGCTTTAGTTTAACGACTTATGTTGAGGGTAATATTGTTAAGTAAATAATGTTTTGGACTTTAAAGATGTTGCTAACAAATTTAATTTCATTCAAATAAAAATACTTATCACAAAATTGTCACTATTTTATTGAAATTCAACTAGCAAACGCAGCTAGATAGTTTTTTATTTTTTTGGGGGAATCATATCACAAAATGAGGATATTAGTTCTCACCCAAATCTTACCCTTCACTCTTGACCACTTGAGCAACAACTTACAGTCTACAACTTGTTCTTGACTCAGTCTTGGCAAGGGACTTGCATTTGATCTAGAAGAAACAATGTGGAAGAAAAGTGAGGGAAGTCTGACATAGCCAATACTGCACAGTCAATTCATTTTCATGGACTGAAAGTGTGTCTCAACTAAAACGTTAGAGGTATTGTGACCATTTCTTTATTGCCACACATTACCTTGGAAATTTCTTTCAAGTGATACAGATATACACACCAACTTGGAGATCCACAAGTATCTAGTTAAACATGGGATGAATTTAACTATACATAGTTTGTATACAATACAAAATCAATATAATACAGATATGATGTCACACGATCCTAAATAGATCGAATATGTATTAAACGACTTTTGACACATCACAACTAACCTTTTCCAAAATACAACCCGACATAACCCCAATGAATGTTCTATTACAAATTCTCTTACTATCAAATTTGTATGTCTTTTAGTCTAATTTGATACACTTAGGTATAATTTGCTCATTACTTTCATTGAATAAAATTGATGATCTTTGTTTCGCATGTGTCAGTGTAACCTCCATTTTATCATCCACTTTTTTTTTTTTTTTTTTGGGTACGTAAGATGAATTCATTAAAAAAAAACCAAAAGAATATACAAGGTGATTTCATGGGATGGCTGATTTTCTGAACAGGGGAGAAGAAGATCATCATCTACCTTACCTCCAGTGTGATGGAAAAGGAACCAAGAGACACCCGATCATGGAAGAAAGTAGCTAGGCATCAATGTCTGTTTTTTGTGATTCAGTCAGTTGTGGCATAGATATGCACAACTGTAACAAACATATATAAAAGATACATCTAAATGCATATCAAGAGTAGCTACATAGATAATGTATATTGGGCCCCAAGTAAATTTGTACTGTGACTGGTCTTAGCCTTCTACCAGCATTTACTCTCCAATTGAATAATCTCCCAATAGTAAAATAATAATCAATTGACGTTTATTTTAATTTGTGTATCCAATCATTCCTTTGAAAATTGAAAAGCTGATAAAATGATATTAATGCTAAAAGTTACATCCGCACCTCGTATTTTTGTTCTATGACAATGGTTGGTTAGAACTAAAAAATCAACAATTTATTGCTTCTAACTAGAAGGGTTAAATTCGGGTTTCATTTTATATTTCTACTATGAGTACAAAATGAATTGGGCAAATTATATTTTGTTACCTAAAACATTTAAGAATTTTCACTTTGCATCCTCAAAAATTAGATTTTTCACATTACATTCTCAATGTATTAAAAGTGTTACAATGCTATACTTTCATTAATTTTTGTTATTCTTTTTGTCAACGTTAATGTGTTAGTATTTGACGAAACAAGCAATGAAAGTTTTGTGAGAGCCACATTGCAATATTGTTAATATATGGAGAGTACAATATAAAAAAATTAATTTTTGAAAGTGCAAAAGAAAAAATTTTAAATAATTTGTGGGTGCAAAAGTGGGATTCTCCCTTAAAATTTTTAGGCCATGAATATTATCAAAATTAGATTCAGAACAAGATAAATGATGTATTTTTGAGACTCTTAGATGATTAAGAAACAATCACGCGTTTTTAAGACAATAGGAATATTTATTTATGTATATCATTATATATGATTCGAGAACAAAGGGTATTCATTTTAATGTTCAAAAATATTTGTCTAAAATATTCATATCATAGAAATATCCTGAAATAAAAAAAAACATTTATTAATTATTGGATATCGCATTTATACCTCTATGGACACAGAAGACCCTTGCGCATCATAGAGTACAATTCATTTTGTTGGCCTGAGTTTCTAAAATCCTAATTTCGTCTTTGTGAGTAAGTGCAAGAATGGAACAAGAATTTTATTGTAAAAGAGGTCAAACAAAATTAATGGTACAATCATTAATTTTATTTAACAGAATTATTGAGGAAGTTAACTTTAAATATATAGCTTATCAAATTACCATTGTAAAGTCATAAAAATCCAAAATTTTTGTGCAACAATAACTCAATCCAAGACTCCCTTTTAACCAGTGCAAAAGCACTCTAACAATTTCCTCTTGATCCCCTATGTCCTTGAGTATTCCTCTTGATCCCCTATCATAGGTGGTTCAAAAGAACACTAGGTCAAACTGCAACTTAACTTTTCTATCACAGTATTCATCCATGATTAATTGGACAATAAGTGTATGATGACCTTCCCAAATGCATGAACTGCAGAGAACTGAATTTGGGAATTTGGATAGAGAGGGACCTAGTGAGAGATAGAAGGGGGAGGCGCAGATAGGAGAGGACGGGTAAGGGTGCTCATGCTTATAGTTGGTAGTGGTTGAAAGTTCAGGAGGTGTGATTTACTTTCCCACTCACGCAGTGAGTTTTTTTTTTCACACTTTTTTTTTCAAGGCCCTTAAAACTCTATATAAAGGTTCATCATCTTCCTCATAACATGCACCACACCATTGTAAGAGAAAAATGGAGAAATCTTGTCATTGCCCAAATGTTAAGAGTCAAAAATCTCCTGTAAGGCATTGAAGATGTCACACACTATGTTAAGAAAGCTGATTTTCTAGACCGTACTTCCAAGAAGGGTAAAAAATACGTCTCCAAGAAACTGAAATAAAATGGAGTCATGAAACAAGAGCGCTATCCCTCAGACGGCCATCCACTAAAACAATGGCCCAAGAAAGGGGGCGGGGAGGAAAATTTACTTGGGATGGCTCTAGGTCCTATGATCCTCCAGTCATCGACAAGAATGACCCTAATTATGACGATGAGGTGGTGACCGAGGAACAGACAAAGTGAGGGGGCTTTCTTATTTTAGAGGCTTGAATAACCCTTGATGTTTTTTTAATTTTTTGTTTATTGATAAAATTGTTCTATCTATCTTACTTTTATGTTTTCTGTTGGTTATTATTGCAAGTATTTTGGGGTTTGGTTTTCTCTGCGGTGTATGCTTTCGAACTCGGCTATTACTTAATGGTATTGGCCCACGGAATTTTTTTTAACAACATAACACCTACAGTAATTGCCTCTAATCTTCATAACTCATGTAATCTTCGTAGCCCACACTCAGATCCACAATTCTTGGCCAAGGGCGGCCCAATGCAAATTAAGGTCTTAAGCAAAAATTTTATATGAGTTGTCATTTAATATTTTAAGATAATAAATTTTGTTAACTATTATAAGACATTTTATAGAGAGTTGCGATATAATTTATTTTCAATATTTTAGTGCTTTTGGGATTGGGCGGGATTAGATAAAAAATTGAGTGCAATTATGAAGTCAGGATCTTATAAATGAATAAATTGAATGAAATTTTAAAGAGATAACAAGAGAGTTAGAGATAAGGAGAAAGAACTGGAACAAGACAATGAGAGTTTGAGAGAGAGAAAAAGTTGGAAATAGGTGGTGAGAGTAGCGTTAAAAAAAGTGAGATTGTTATTTTTAAAGTTAAAAATCGTTACTTTTAAATTTTGGGCCTTATATGGACAAGGATTTTTAGGAAGTTCAGCATTTTAGAATTATCTATTATTTTTATTTTCATGTAATTATCATGCATTAAAATTTTTTTAATTCCTTAATTATTATAATTAGATTACATCGAGAGGTAAAGTACATATGTTCCTCCTAACTATGTGTAATGTAATTTTTAAGAGTAATGCTAAATGGACTTAAAAACTAGACTTTATAATCTCAACTATTGAATAGGTAGTAAGTCTCAATAAATGCTAGGACTCACTGTGAAATCAATGGTTATAATTATCAAGTCTGATTTTTAACTCTAATTTCTAAGTCCATCTAGCATTACTCAATTTTTAATCAATAAAATTCCCTCGTACCATTGAGGTTCACCCAAAAAAAAAAAAAATTGGTCTATTCAAAAAGATTTCAAAACATGGAACTGACCCAATGACTGAAAATTAAATTAGGGTTCCAAGATACTTTATTAATGGTTGGGCCTGCTATGTCTGACCCCATTCAAATGATTGAAGTATTTGTACATCTCGTAACAATTGTAATCTCTGTATGCGCCTTATTATCGAGTCTTCATCTATAAAACCGATTAAGTGAGACAAATTAATTAATGGATGACACGTAATGAGAAAAAGTAATATGT